TATTATCTTGTAAACAATTGGCAAATCAAATAAATAAATAAAATAAACAAAATAATCTGTAATACACTGAAGGTCTGACTGACAAAAAGACAAAGAAAAGAAACATGCACAAAAACAAATTTATATATTTATAGGTAAAGTTTTAGGTAGATATAGGTAAAAATTTCCCCTGTCAATAATGATCAACCCAAGGGGCAGTGTTAATCTTTGATTCACAAATGAAGACTCGGCTCTATCTGAAGATGCTTCTGTGGTCAAGTGGCTGGCATGACTATACACCGTAGATGCATGGAACATTGTTTCTTTCCCACTGAACTGGCACCTACTTGCATTTACATGCTTTTGAATTGCTAAGTTAACAGGACACATAGACACACATAGATATGCACAAACTATATGTATATGGAAATGGATATGGTTATGGATATGGATAAAAAACGGGAACCAATTTTAATACTCATAAGCACACCTTAACTGTCATATCAGATGTCTACATGATTTTTTGCCCAAACCATTCAGAGCTGTACACATTTTTCTTTTGATTGAAGACTGTCAAAAATAACAATTAGTCTCATTAATTTATTCAGAGAAAAAGGTTAAATTGCTCCAATGTTCATGTAGATATTTTATCTATTCTTAATATATGGGATATTAGCTGTCTCCCTGTTTTTCTCTTTCTCAACCTATCACATCTATATAACTCATTTATCTATCTATGAGTGATCTTACATTATCCAGCCAGAAGAGACCAATCAAATATATTTCTGAAATTAACAATTTTTTTTTAAAAAAACTTTTTAAAAGTTTTTTTTTTAAAAAAACTTTTCCTAGACCGATACAGCTCATTAGTCTAGAACCCGCATTACGTATCTGATATTAATACAGTGGAGAAAGTCCAGCAATTTTTCACAAGAAGAGTTCTCTACTCTACTCATTGCAGAATACCTTATGCCACCAGACTTGAAATTCTAGACCTAGAGAACCTAGAACTACCACACTTTCAGTCTGATCTAAGTATAGTACATAAAATTATACAGTGCAATGTCCTAGCTGTCAATGAATACTTCAGTTTCAACCATAACAATATAGGAGCACACAATAGATACAAACTCAATACTTATATTGCTTATCTTATAACTGCTTGAATAAATAAATAAATAAATAAAAACATCATCCCAAAAAATAAAACATAACACTAACCTATATAGCAACAAAAACACACATTATTAGCCATAATCTTTAATTTAGTCTAAAACCATATAAGAACATCTCTGGTAACAGTTTATCTGGCCTGGTGTCAGAAATTTTATTAATGTCATTGATGATAGTTATGACTTAACAAGAATTCCGATTGTGACAATTGAAAGATATGATTAATTCAAATAGTTTGAGTTGTTTTAGCAACTTTACTACTCAATTATTATAATTGAAAATTCAAATGGAATGAAGAAAGATAAGCGACAACATAGAAAACATTACTTCAAGTTATGTGATTTTATATTGCATGTATATTGACCAAAAAATAAACACCAACACAAGGAGCCTTAATGAGATTTCATCATCAGATGTTCCTTGGTGTTTATGTCAGGTCTCAGTGTAATAATGTAGCACTTGGGAACAAAAATACAACCCAATAAACTGAGGCTGGAGGCCAAGATGGAGAAGATCTGCACAGCCACCATGTATTTCCCTTTGGTGCTCAGGTAGCTGGGGACAAAGGAGATCCAAACGCTACAAAAAACCAACATGCTGAAAGTGATCAGTTTGGCTTCATTGAAGGTCCCTGGCAGATTTCGAGCCAGAAACGCCACCAAGAAACAGATGGCAGCCAGAAAACCCATGTAGCCAAGGGCAGTGTAGAACATGGCCACTGAACCTTCGTTGCACTGCAGCAGGATGTCTTCTGGCTGGGAATGAAAGTCAGAATCTGTGAACGGGGGAAAGATTCCCAGCCATGTCATACAGATGCCTACTTGAATACCAGAGCAGGATAAAACAATCGAGTGGGCCAGACCCTTCCCCAGCCATTTCCTCAAACTGCTTCCTGGCTTTGTAGCCAGGAAGGCCACCACCACCATTACAGTCTTGGCCAGCAAAGAAGATACGGCAACACAGAAAACAATACTGAAAATGATTTGTCGAAGGAGACAGGTCATTTTCATGGGGCGACCGATGAATAGAAGGGAAGTCAAGAAAGAAAACAGGAGAGAAACCAGGAGGACGTAGGTGAGTTCACGGTTGTTGGCTTTGACTATGGGAGTTTCTTGGTATTTAATGAAGATTCCCAGAATGAAGGCAGTGGTTAGGGACAAAGCAATAGCAAAGAAAGCCAGGATGAGTCCCAATGATTCTTCATAAGATAAGAAGCTTATGCCTTTGGGGACACACTGATCCCGCTTCTTATTGGAATACTGGTCATCTGGACACTTTTCACAATGGGCTGCATCTGAAAAAAAATTGGTTAGTGGGTATCTCTTTTTGCTGCTGTAGGAGCATGAAAACCGCATCAGAAATCAATTATTTCATTTTCAAGGAATATAATATTTCTGCCCAGGGATATTCATATGACATGACATTAGTTAAAATAACCAACAACCTTTTTAAAGGCTGAAGATGAATGTGATTATCAGCTCTCAGAACTTGTCCTCTTTCCCAAAACCAAGCAAGAAAGTAACACCTCAATAGATTATTTTAATGCTTGCATCATCGTACAAAATTCGGGGATAGTGCTCAATCATTGAAATGTTTGTGGATGCCTCCAAGATGTGTAATGTTTTTTCTTGCTTCTTGATCAAATACCCCAAAAAAGCAATAGAGAATTTTGATTGTATCCTTGTTGTTTTTGAAGCCACCGACTGTACCTTCTTGCCCAGAGAATGTTCCTTCCATACACAGAGAACAGTCGTAGCAGCAAACTGGGGCTCCCTCTCTCACAAGCTTGGCATAACCTGGGGAGCAACTTTCTGTACATCTTGAATAAGGCACCGTCTAAACATAAACCAAAAGATTTATCAGGGCAATATATAAATTAGAGGCAATATATAAAGAGACGTGGTGGCTCAGTGGCTAAGAGGCTGAGCTTGTCGATCAGAAAGGTTGGCCATTGGGCAGTTTGAATCCCTAGCACCACGGAATGGAGAGAGCTCCCATTACATGTCCCATGTTCTGCCAACCAAGCAGTTCGAAAGAACGCAAAAATGCAAGTAGAAAAATAAGGACCACTTTGGTGGGAAGGTGCCAGCATTCTTTGCACCTTCAGCATTTATTCATGCCAGCCACATGGCCACGGAGACGTTTTCTGACAGTGCTGGGTCTTCAGCTTTGAAATGTAGATGAGCACTGTCTCCTAGATCCAGAAACGACTAGCACGTATGTGCAAGAGGAACCTTTAGTTTTCAACATAAACCACAAGATTAGTATGAATTATAAAAGTTTAGTGAAATCAACTGGCTTCCAAAAGTCAGGAGCACATTGAGAAAAATCTGTCAAGAAGTAGTGGCATGACCTTTAATTACTCTACTTGCAAGGGGCAAATGAAGAGTCATTCTCTTTCCTCTATCAATCTCCATTATACATTCCAAAACAGATTCGTTGCCTTATTCTTCTTTCCAAAGGAAAGAAGTTCCATTGCAAAAGGTGTTTCTCCTTAGAGCATGTATGAGAATGCCAAAATTTGTATATATTCTTTCTCCATCTTAGCTTTCTCAGGAAACCTCCAAAATCTAGCTTTCTCTAGAGTCCCTATCTTTCTCTCCTACAACTGATCATTGTATCATCATATGTAAATGGCTTTTTTTTAGCTGCCCTCATTTCCCTCACCACATTCTTAATGCTATCTTCCTCTTATGCAATTCAATGGGCTAAACCCTTCCTATTCTGGATTTTCTCTCCAAGAAGCTTTTACAAAAGACAACTCATCATTTCACTGACAACTGATTTTGAATCATCAGAATATTACTAATGCTGGGAATGTTGGTATGACTGGATAGAATAAAGATGGGAAATATATTGGTAAATAATGTAAACTGTAAAGGAGGTAGTAATTACATACTCGCAATAAGATGTTCTGACTGAATGGTGGAATATGGAAGGGTTTATATTCCTTGCAGTCATCTGGTCGTTAACAGTCTTTTTGAAAGTTGTTTAGGCCCCTTGGAATTTATCTGTGCCCTCAGGGTCACGTGAATAGTGCAAATGGGTGTGGAAACTTCCTGCAATTGCTGAATCTATGTCCTGTTGACAACACAATCTTTTCAGCAGTTCCAAATCCTTCCATCCTCCACCATTCAGTAAGAACTGAAGAAGCTTCTTGGATGAGAAATGAAAGATCGTCAAGGGAAAACAAAATCCAGGTGCTTTCGGAAAAAACACCTTTGGCACAACCATGACCTGGATGACTGACATAGAAATTCTGGAGTTTCTCTTACTGAAAAAAAATAATTTCATGTACTATAAATTATGGCAACATATTCCAGTTTAATAATGTAGATTGCAAATTCCGCAATACAATGCAGCAGGTTCCAGTGTGTGACAGATTATTGTAGGACCTCTCACGTAAAATATATCTAATAAATTAATGAGGCTTTACGTTCTCTTAGTTGGAAGTTATCTCAATTGGCCTCAATAAGAATTATTTCTGAGCATAAAATTTACACATATGGAGATAAATAAGAGCAAAATCCAAGCAGCCTCAACTACTTTGTTAAATAAAGTTGGCCATTGGATGGCACTTTGATTGAGAGAAATCTTGACTTCTGAAGAGGATCGGCTTTCTACACTCCCAATTTTCACCCCCGCATCTGATTTGTTCTGAAGTGATGTCCAGTGCATGATATCAAAATCACCAACAGGAACTCCATTTTCATCAAAAGAAATCCCATCTGTGGAAATATTTTGATGTTGGAAGTTCCTCAGGAACCTATGGAGCTGCAGAAACATAGAACGAATATTACAATTTGAGCCTTTATTCAATGTTTTTCTGGCTCTTATTCTGGATTGGAGGTACGCTGAATAATTCAACCTCTTCAAATCATCAAATTTGCAGGCAACAGTAAGCTGGCAGGAATAGGCAACATCCCAGAAGACAAGCTGAATATCCAAAAAGATCTTTGCAAATTGGATATGGGCCCCTACCTAACAAAATAAAATTCAGCATAGATGAAAGTAAGGATTTCCACTGATGCAAGAAAAACCAAAAGTACACATTAAAGACTATGTGAAACTTGGCTGAATGCCAGTAATTGTGAGAAGGATCTTGGAGTCCTAGTGGACAATCACTTAAATATGAACCAACAATGTGTGGCAGCAGATAAAAATGCCAATGCAATCCTAGGCTGCATTAACAGAGGGATAGAATCAAGATCACAAGAGGTTCTAATATTGTTTTAAAAAGCCTTAGTAAGACTATGTTTAGAATACTGCATCCAGTTCTGCTCATCAACACAATATAAAAAAGGTACTGAAACTCTGGAAAGACTGCAGAGATGAGCAACAAGAAATGATTAGAGGCCTTGAAGATAAAACATACCACAAACAGTTACAGGAATTTGGTATGTCTAATCTAAGGAAACGAAGGAGTGGGGAGACATGATATCACTTTTCTAATATTTGAGGGGGGGGGGTTCAAAACATTTCCCAAAGTACCAATAGGCGAGAAAAGAAACAATGGTTGGAGAGAAGCAACCTACAAGAGGAATTTCTGAGCAGTGAGAGCAATCAACCAATGGAATAGCTTGCCTTCAAAAGTTGTGAGTGCTCCTTCACTGGAGGGTTTCACAAAGAGACCTGGGCTACCATTACTCTGAAATGGTATGGCATAGGGTAAGGGTCTTCAAAATTGGCAAGTTTAAGACTTATGGACTTCAACTCCCAGAATTCCTGAGCTAATATGACTGGAGGAGGAATTCTGGAAGTTGAAGTCCACAAATCTTAAAGCTGTCAAGTTTGAAGATCCCTGGTATAGGGTGTCCTGCTCGATTAGTAGGTTGGACTAGGGAACCTGTGAGGTCCTTTCAAATTCTATTATTCTAAATTTCATGTTCTGTGTTTTGCAGTTTCACCATCCCAGACCATCTGAATCAAGACCATTTGCAGATATGGGGAAACTTGTCATGGGAGAAGATGGAGAATACAATTTTACCATCAGTCCTGGTCAAGATGAAGTTAGCGGAGTTTAACTTTGGGCTAGGAATGTAACAAAAATTGTATAGTGATGTTATCTCTTTGAAAGAGTAGCTATGGTAGCGTATCCATTAGTTCAGGAGACAAATTGACGAACCTTTGGTTGTCCCCAGAAGATGCTTTGAACATACCTTGTTGCTATGTTACAAACTTTTAGGCAGCAAAGTCCAATTTTAATCCAGAACAAACAACCCAGCTGAACTCCTTAGCTTGGAGACTAGATGACTTTGTGATCGCAATAAAAGATTGAGGATTGCTGGACTATTCTGATGCTTGTTTAATTTTGACATTTTGTCAGCATTGAGCTATTTCTGACAAAAAAGCATCCCAAACTAGACAGGTTGTTTAACTCTGGAATACTTTTCTCTATCACTCTCTCTAACTCACTGTCAGGGTTCCAAGTAATATGCCTGTAGCAAACTGGACTCTGAGGTAAGTAGGTTCCTCAAATATCAGTTTTATTGGACATATCATATAGGCATAGGCTGTTGAAAACTGACTTTAAACATTACCATGGTTTTCACTTAATTAAAAATAAAAGTTTTCCTCCTCTTTCCAAACTATCAGTCACATGGTCTAATCAAGGTGTCATCCAGTTGCCTGGTGACTTCACTCATCCTCTCTCTGGCCATCACTGGGAATGTCCTTGTTTCCCAGGAGACAAAAAAAACAAACCCAGCTATCTCTATTCCCGCCTCCCTTTCCCTCAGTTCCAGTGTGGCAATACTGAAGCATCAAAATGGCATCAGTCAGGTGAGCTTCAGCGTTGACACTTACTCTCAAATACCACTAACTGGAAAACTGCTCTTTGGAATATCTCACCCTTTTGACATCTAATTTAATATTGAGGAATTGGAAGGGGAGAATCAATGGAACCGCAAAGGAGAATACTCGCCTGCCATGGCTGTACAATCTGGGGTGGTTGATGGTATCCAACCTGCATTTTCCTCTTACTCCATTGGGAGGAAGAGGCAGCACTGAGGACCCGAGCCACAATTTGAATTATTCGGGAAATACTGGGGGAATCATGAGACAGGATTCTTGCAATCACATCATGGGATGGGAATTCCCAATTCTCTTTTTCTCTGCATTTTTTCCAAACTTTCTTAGATAACAGAGGATTTGAATAGGAACATCGGAATGCTTCCTTTCCATACAATTTGACAATAGATGCATAAGATTTAAAGTCATAATACTGAGTCCTTCTCTTTGTCTGGATGAAGTAGGAAAACAAAGCATGTTTATTTTGGAGATCAACCCAGAGGTCAAAAATTCTTACACTTGAAGCTTTCAAAGTTGTTGCAATCCACACCCTTCCCATAATGGATGTATTAGTCATATCAATTGTTTGTATTATTGCTGCTAATATTGCTGAGGCCTGAAAATCTAGTTGGCATACTATAATTTTTATTTGACTGTTGAGAAGAGAATAGAACATTTTCAATTTTTCTTGCATGAGAGTTTCTCCAGCACTTGTCTGTGCATTTGCTTCTGGGACAGTTCCTGACAGGACAATGCAAATCCCACTTTTTAAGGCAAGAACTTCCAAGCGTCTTTTGAATTGTTCTCCTCTTTCATTGTCCTGAGAAAGGAGGCCAATCCACGTCCATTGGAACTGCAGGAGCAGCTGGACAATCGCTGAGTAAGGAGGTTCTTGGTTTGGGGTCATCCGATATGAAAAAGTGAAACG